CTGCTTTTCTTCATGAGTATACAAGTGCTTTGCATGATATTGGGTAAATTTATGGGCACTCAAATTCTCAACACTTTTCGTGTAATTTTAAGTGACTAAGTTTGGGGAATGGAAGGGAACCCAACTCTTAGGTGGTTGTGTTCCTGCCCCTGTTTTCAGGCGTCTATTTCAAAGAGTTGTAGCTGGCTGCCATCACAGTGGTGGCTTTGAAAATTTTAACTCTTTTCAAAGGGGATCACAGAATTAATCTTAAACAAAAAGTCCAGAAAGGTTTTCCTGAAGTCCAGTATCTGAGGGGAGGATGGTACTGTACAATTAGGGTTTTTTTAGAAAGGATATTCACACCTTTGGCTAGGAAGTGCCAATTAGTGCTTTTAACTACATAAAAATATTACTCCACCATCATCTTTTCTGAATGTATTCAGCTGTCTTGTTCTTAGATCTATGCATACCTTAACCAAGTTATGCACACTACCATACCAATTAATGAAATTTACTCCACATAATATGACTGACTTCTAAAAATATTTTAATTTAGGTTAAACTCCTAAATATACTTGTCAAATGTTTTTGTAAGACGACTAATTCATAGAAAGATTGGATTTTGAGTTGAAGGACTGAAACTATGTAAACATTTTGCAATAGCCAGATGTCATTTAATAGCTTGGTCTTCACATGAATTTCACTTTTTTTTTTCCTTGAACGTGTAACACATGTGGAATAGCCAGCAAATATGAATTTTATCAATCAGATATAGTTTGACATTTTTAACACTTTGTAAAGTTTAAAAAAAGACCTGTTTACCATATGGTGTAAGTGGGTGTGCAGGAAACGGCACTGTTTCATGAAGTCTGATACATGCTGTACTACTTTTCCATGAACTGAGCATGAACATTTCCTTTTAACGGGTGTGCTGAAGGCAAGCCTTTGAAGCATGGGTGTTTAACTTTGGACAGTAACATTTATGTTTGTGTGCTTCTGTAGGTGATTGTTTTAAAAATCACGTAATCCTTTCGCTTTTCTTATTTTTATTTGACTTTATTCATAGAAGTTTGTTCCATACTAATGCTGCAACAAGTGAAAGAAGTAACAGAAAAGCAGAATTTATATTTTTCTTTTCATTGTTGGAGTAGCCAGTTGTTATGATTGTGGTCCCACGTATCCTATTTCCTATTTGCATTCTGTGTCTTTTCAAGATGCTGCAGAGCATCAAGGCAATTCCATGATCCTTGAACTGAAATCCTGTGTATCATTAAATTGAATTAGTCACGGTAGTTTCTTCAGAGATAGGGTCACTGCAGCTTTCGGTGACTTGAAGATACTGATTCTGAATACTGTTCTGGCTTATTTGCATACAATTGTGGTTTAATTCAGTTAGCATTTCATGCAAGGATGAGAGCACAGCCCTTAAAGCTCTGTTGTCCAGTGCCTCAAATATACATTGGGCCAGTGTTACTTAGAGCATGGAACTTACCACTCAGTCCAAACTAGCAACTTGCACTCGCTCCTTTTGCAGACAAAAGCCGCTGCTTCTGTTCCAACAGCACTTAAAAGTAGAAAAGTACTCGATGATAACTGCTTCTCAAACAACAAGTTAAAGCATCATTTAAATGCTGAAAGGACACAGTTTTCCAAGATTAAAGTGTTTGTACATATATTTGTAAATGTTTCACATGTCCCATCTAGACACAGTTTTTAACTAATTGCTAGAAACTTACACATGCCTCTCTGAAATTACTTTTTGATTTAGTCTCCTGCTTATCGGATAATTAGTAGCTTAACCAGTTTTTAAACAAAATTCAGATAAGGAAAAAAAATTGATCCCCAGCTAAAATGTGCCTGGCAGTTTCTCTGACAATAGCAATACCTTTTTCTTTCTTAGTGTGGGCTATAATAGCTACTCTTTGAACAGAGTGTCTTAAACAGGGTCTGAGAGTTAGGACATGTTTGTAATTCATGAAACTATGTAATATCACAAACTGCAGTTCCAAAAAAGAAATAAAAATTAAAAAACCAGACTGCTTGACATGTGAGCTTCATGGTATAAAGATTTTAGATTTAGAATATTACTTAAAACTGCACAAGTCTTCTGCTCTTTTGGAAAAATAATGTTCTTATTAATGTGCTCTTAAGCCCAAGGCAGGAGGAAGAAAATTCGGCTAAAAATGCATGTAAACCTACAACATTGCCAAGAGAGTGTTTCACAGTGTTACAGCCACCTGGCACCAGCACTCAGGAAGTCATGACTGTTTATGCCACCAGTCTTTTTTCATATATAACCTACTTAATCCTGAGAAAGGCAAATTGAGGACTGGTAATAATGCATCTCCAGGTCTTTCTCCCACTGTCCTTGTCTCCAGACTAACATCTGAAATGGTTACTCTGATCCTCTATCAGCACCTTCTCTGCTCCCCTGCTGATAAAAGCATCATAATGCAAAAATCAACCTCCAGATCGTCAACCCTGGGCAGAGGCACTCTGTTTTCCCAGTTTAAATAGTAACTGCTATACCTCTCACCGGGAAAGAAACAACTCAGTCCTGTCTGTCATAAAGTACATTACAAAACCTAGCGGCCTCAGTCCAAAAATCACAAATCCAACTGTGAATCCTTCTCTTTTGTGGGAGGGTTTATATAGCAGAGTTTGTGCATAAGTCTGTTTCTTTCCACACTATGTCCTTACTTTGAGCATCTTTTAAAGTCCTTCTCACCAAGCATCAGTGTTTGGTAGCTGAAAGATTTAGCTAAATGTACACACTGAAATGGAATCCAAAAAGAAATGGAGAATAATTTAACTCATTAGAAGTCTATTAATAAAACTTTTTTGTAAATTTATTTTTGTATTAAGGGACTCTATTTACTATGTCTTGTAAGATCCTTTGTTTGTGTTCTATCACTATTTTTGCTTAATTTAAAATATTCTTTTATGTGCAGCTATAAGTGGAGATGGTCTTAATACCAATGACTGCAGGGTGATTGATCTCAGTTGTAACTCACGTAAAGGTTTTCTGAGCTGGGAGGTTTTTAGGAAGCTGTAGACCACCTTGAGTTTCTTATTAAAAGTACATCATTTCACAAACATAGTCTAAAATAACTCTTTTGTATATGGTGTCAATGGCACTATTTATCTAAATACAGTATTCAAGATGAAGTAACTGTTGTTGGGATATGAGTTCTTGTTAAGCGATCTTGTCAGTAACGTTTGGTGTTGAAGTTACTTAACATTCAGCTTAAGTTTTAATACTTGATTTTGTTCATTAAAGATTTTTTTATATATATATTTATGCTTAGGAAGTAAATTCAGCTATTACTACCTTTGCAATATTTTGCAATAGAATTATGAGAAAAAGAAAGGACTTTAGGATAAAAATAGATTCAGATAAAATTAAAGCACAAATGAAAACCGACAGCTCAACTTTTCACCTCATCTCCATACAGATATTATATATGTAGATGATCTGCATGGTGATAGCTCCTTCCAAACCGGGGAATGCATTTTAGGAGCAGCACTATGCATGTTTGGTTTTGGATCCTTTGAAGATTATGCCTTCCGTTGCTGTTCTTGTTGATTCTGGAACTAAATGCAATACACAGTAATGCATGCCTTGCAGTTTCCATTATTTCAGCTGATTAATAACATTCTCTTTCACGATGTGCACTAATGCCCTATTTATTTCCATTGTCTGTTCTCATGTATATACTTTATTCTCCTAGTTGGCAACTACTTTCAGCTTTCCATTCGTTGTTATTTTTAAAATCAGTGGAAACTGGATGAACTCCATCTACTCAGCAGTTCAGAAAATCAGGCCCAGATGCAGGATTTTCTGTAAAATGTTGTTGCTAAATAGCAAATTTTGATAAGTCAAGTATTGTTTAAATTTTAAAGCTAAACTTCATAAGCTGAATTCAGAAATACAGTTTCTTCCCCCTCACTCCCCCTTTGATTCTCTTATTTTTCTGAAGCACTCTTAAGACTGCAGCCACTTTGAGACTTTAGGCACTTAATTTTGTTACCAAAACAGAAAAGAGTTTCACTATAGTAAATCTTTGCTATAGTATCAGCTTTAAAACTGAAGATTAGTATCCCATATAAAAACTTCTCAAGATTAAATGAGCTTTGTTCTAGTTTTGTCTGGCTTTCTTAAAGCCTATTTTTTAAAAAGTTCAGTGTGCAAGAAGTATAATTTAAACTGCTTTAAGGTATAGACTGTCAAAACTAAGAAATCAAATTGCTCTGATTATTCCAATTGCCCCTCAGTTTGAGAATTTAATTGATGTCTCGTGCCTGTGTGCGTCAAGTAAAATTAATAATAATCCAAAATGCCTCTATGAGAGGCTTCTATGTGTTTGGAGAAATCTCAGATTAAAGCAAAATACATTTGCTTTGTGTTTTATGGCATGCAGAACGGGGGGAGAATTGTCCAAGTGACCAACCCTCTTGAATGTCTTTATGAAGCTTGACAGTGTACGGCTTACCAACTAAGTACAACTTCTGTCAAGGAGCCTTGTTAATAATTTGTAGTTAAAATATTATTCTTGGTTACTTTAAGATAGAATTTTATAGCTCTTGTATAGTTCTTTGTATGAGTAAAATATAAAACTTTTACAGTGTGAATGTTTAAAAGCTTTTTGGTAAAGAAGAAAATAATGACAGATATCTTTCCTTTCTTATGTGTAATTATGTAACATTTTGCACTTTGAATTTTGTTTGTCTACATTATATAACATTATACAACTGATCAGAGGCATACAAACTACTAGCTCTTTTTTCTAATTAGATTTTTTTTTAGTTTCACTACATCTTAATAGAAATTCATATTTTGGTACAGATCATACTGTATATAATACATACAATCTTACATACTGTAGTGAATCAAGTGTGGCATTATAAACTGCCTTTCTTCAATCCAGTCGTTCAAATTCACAAGCTTTGCTTTTTTTACATCTGACACTGAAAAGTCACTTTTCTGTATCAAGTATGTTTTGGGGTTTTTTTGCCAGATTGTCACAAGTTACTCCACTTTTCAAGAATACTCAGACGAGCCCAATGTACACACAGTTCCTGACTACGTTGCTGGAAGAACTGCATTTCAAAAATGAAGATCTGGAAAGTTTAACAAGAATATTTAGAAAGGACTGCCTACTTGAATGGTCAGTCAATTTTAAGCTATCTTGCATGTCATAAAACTAAGCCAGTTAACAACGGTTTTAATTTTCAGCATTTTGTAAGTATGCACAGTAACTGCAGATCATATCAGCCAGAGTAGAAAATGTGTAAAGTACATTTTAAAGTAAAGAAATATATATGGTATGGAAATGAGTGTCATCATTTTGTCACTTACAGTAAATGCCAGCTGCTTACTTATCACTTTAATCTTTTGCGAATATATAGCTGGTTTATATATAGTTGGTTTACTGCAATTTTGGGAGAAATTTTTATTCAAGTTCTACTACAATTTATTTTAAAAAATTTCTGTGTGGCTACAATGGCTAAGTCTCAGCGGGGTTTCTTAATTATTAAAATGAAATTGTTGTGTTCAGTCTTTGTGATATAAAATTGAGCTAAAAGCTATGTATTTTTTGCATACTACTAAGATTAGATTTTGCATTCTAGGTAGGCTGAAAAATTTAAGAGCAAGTATACTTTATGTTGATCGTATTCAACAGATTTGATGAATATAGCATTATAGTATTTAATTAAGTAATTAGTGTATTAACATTACTGATCTCACTCCTTTGTTCCCCACAGAATAAGGTGATCATCTTAACATCTCCTACTATCTGAAATAGTGGCACAGAGAACAAAAGAACACCTTCAATTGTTGGAACTTTTTTTTAGATGAAAAATGAAATTTAGTATTAATTGTACTGCTTGTACTTCTGCTTTTTCATTTCCTTCCTGTAAATAAGAATTTTGAAGTCTTGTGGAGAAGTTGACCATAACAGCAGTTGTTTCAAGGTATGCATGAAGACTAGTTAAAATATGGGTCATCTGAAAACTGTCTGTTTAAAAGCAGTAGAAGGGAATTTGGATTGGTTTGTTTTTTTCTTGCTTTGGAAATTTTCAGCCAAAATTTGTCTACAGGAATTAGGGGGGGTGGAAGCATATTAGACTGGTGTGTTAAGAACACTGCTGCTGACATTTTTCCAGTTGACCCAATGCATGGAGCAATGATCCTTAAGAATGATGACGACAGTACACAAAGATGTCTGATCTAAAGACTGTTTATCTTGCTACTTCTAAGAAAAGCGTTGGTTTTTGAAATTGTGTAAAAGTTATTTTTAAACAGCCTCTAACTGTTACTAATTTGGACTTTAAAATATATTTTAATAACTAAAAACTTTATTTTTTATTTTAGTAGTCATTTCATTTAAGAGTTGTGTTGTTTAGACTGAGTGTGTTTAGGCTTGCTTCTGTCACTAACTGATCATAAAATGCAATTTAAAACTAATCCACTAGTAATTCTTAATGATTCCATAATATAGTTTATTGCATAGTTCTCACTTCATAGGCCACTGTCCTTTGACAGACTTGAGAAGAAAGTTGTAACTGACAGTGCTCAGTCTGCAGCAAATGCCAGCACTAGTTAAGGCTGAAGCAAGACTTACCAGGGCCGCCACATAGCAACTCCATTCAAAAAAAACAGAGTTTATTCCCTTTGTTTTGTTTCTGTAGTTAGACACCAAAAGGGAGCTCTGCACTCAGTTTATTGCTGTGTAGTTCCTTCATGATAATCAGGATAAATATGTTGATTGCCCCCAACACACAGAAGCCCATGCAGCTTTTCCCTGGAAGCTTCATTGTGCAGTAGAGTTTATTTAGGTGATGCTTCACTTTTCCTAACTTACCTTGTAATGGGAAGTTATGTTCAATACAACTTGTAAAAGCAACAATTTAGAATGAGGAAAACCTTTAATGCAGAGTTAAAGCTATGCATTTTTCTAAGTATGCAATAGGAAAAAAATACCCATTGTGATCAGAGCATGTCTGATATCAAATTCATAAGAATGCATGATGTAATCTGGATAGAAGGTACATTGGTGTTGTACCATGATGGAAAACTTTTTACTTGATACATATGCAAAGAAGGGACAAGACCTTACCAAAAGATAAGCTTATAGAAGACTGAGTAATAGGTATGATACTCTGAGCAAAACTTAAACCTTGAATTTATATCTATCTGCTTCTGATTTTGGAAGTTAAATATATTTCTATTTTTAGCTAGTACTTCACTGTAGATTCTGAGCAAGCTATTGTTCTGTTCCATGTACATTTACCTTGGGGCATAAAGATTACAACTACCCCATGACAATGCTGCTATACTGCGTACACCTAGAAGGCATTACAAATGCACATCATATCAGGAACATGTCTGTGTTTCATCAGGTTTGATGGCTCTCATTTGGAAAGTTTTTACATTTCCTGTCAGTTTAGTGGTGTCATTTTTTTGTTAGTTATTTTTAGGCTTGGTATTCAGCACTTACTGTGTAGGAAACGTATGATCTTGTATAAGAGTGAATAGGTCACAGGCCCAAAGACCTCTTTATCAGGGTTCACTGTATCTGCTTTAATGTCTGCCTTAGCAACTCAAAAAAGTAAGCTTCCAGGATTTTTGCATCTCCTCAGCTGCTGTGTAGTAAGCTCACTCATTCTTTTCCTTGCCCTAAGAGAACGGAATAACCTTTCTCCTTCTATGACCTTCTTCACCAGTCCAGAAGACAGACTTCCATAATATGCTGGAAATGCCCTGAAGGGATATTCTTCACTTACCTTTAATGATTTCATCTCCCTTAGACGTGACTAAAACACGTGTAAAAAAAAAATGCAGAAAATATACATACATCCATGACTTTTGAGTAGGAGAAAGGCTGTAGACTCATCTCAAAAGGATCTTTCATACTATCAACCTTATCTTGTGGCACAAAGAGCACAACTCAAGCACCAAAAATTAAGTTCATCTGTGTAGTTTTCTTATGAGCATGTTTTATAACAGCTTAACTGCTTACAAATGTTCAAATCTACACCTCATTTATGAGCTTAAAGCTAATTTCTGCCACAACTATCTGTCCTTTAACAGACTTTACTCTTTCTCAGCTCACTTTCCCCCCACCCTTCATATTTTGGTTATGTTTGCAGGCAGATTGTTTCCTTGTGGCCTTGCCGCTGTGCTTACTGTTTTTCCTTCCTATGTTAGTTGAGCAGATGAGAACAGTTGACACTCGGTTCAGTGGTGGGTTTGAGCCTTATCTCAGATATGCTAAATTTTAGTGACTTGTGAGCTGTAGGCCTGTAGGGACATTATGGATCTGGGGCTTGGAGTAGATGGGACATAAGCCTCTACTTCTGAACAGCTCTATGAAAGGGGCATGAGCTTGGGAAAGCCATCAGCTGGTTAGAACATAAGGATCATAAAGTCACGAAAGTCTGTTGCTGTGATCATGTAAAGCATCCAAGCCTATCTGGCAGTGGACCTGTAGCAAGGCAAATATGGTATGATGTGTTTCTTAATAGCAGGGGGGAAACCAGACTTCTACTGTGATTTTTTTTTTTTTCCTAACATATATAAAGGATATAGTAAAGAACAGAAAAACACTTTAGTTTAAAGCTTAAAGCAAAGCCCACTTCATGCTGTTGCAAGCTTCTCAGCTTCAAAGGAGGAATGTGTGACATACCTGCATAGTGCAGATACGGATTTCTTACTGAGTTTTCTATAGATGTAATGAATTAATCTCAGGAAGAAAGCAGTGTTGTTAATAAAACCACATATACAAAGTCAAATTGTTCAAAGTCATTCAAAGCAGCCTTTGTGCTGGCTAAAGAGGATGGAGGAAAAGCTTTTGTGTCTATTTTCACACCAAAGTTCAGTTCACAGTCCTGTAAATACTGTCAGTGTAAGTACTGCACTCTGTAATACTGGATTTCCAAGAGCAGAGCCCTTCATTGCTGCTGTTCAATTATTTGTGCCCGTTGACCAAGCTTGTTGATTTATCTTGGGTTTTGGAGGGAAGAAAGGGATTCAGAGTGGTTCACTTGATTGATAGTCACTATTTCAGGAAAGTGGGCAAGTCATAGCGTAACCTGTAAATTATCAGGTATTCAAAGATTACCCTGCACCTTTGTAAAGATTGCAAATCATGTTATGCTTATATATGGTAATGCAAAATTCTGCAATAAAACAAGCAGAAGAGAGCTTGATTTATTTAATTGAAGACTATTAAAACAAAAAAGTGCCTTAGTAGATCTAGAGCAGCATAACTGACAAGGCTGCACTGCTGTCTAAACCCAAAAGTGGAAAGTTACATCTACCCTGTCTTTAAAGCAGGGAGCAACAAAGAGCATGGTACATACGTGAGAGACATCTGGGGCCTCAAAGGCTGTGTCCACACAACACAGAGAAGATTCACCTATATTTTTCACTCCTCAGTCTCAGTGAGTAGTTTAAGAGTGAGACATCTGTTGTGGTTTTGGCGGGGGGGGGGGCGGAATGAGAATAACGATCCTGCGAATCTTGGTGTAGAACCTGCATGTCTTACCTTTCTCTCCCTAGTTTGAGAGAATGTGGAGTCTACAGAATGCAAGAGGGATGAGCAGCTCAGCTGGACATTAAGTGTCACCTCCCTTTACCTGCTGGGGGGAAAAGGACTAACACATCAGAGGGGGAAAAAAAAGGAAGAGAGAAGGGGAAAGCGGTATTCACACCTTCTAAATTTAGGCATCCAACCTTAGGTACCTGCCTGTCTCCATTTACTTCAGAGAGAACTGATGCTCTTAAATTTAGGTTCTCCAAATCATATCTTAGTGCAGTGCATGAAGTTGGTGGTGTTAATGCCTCTGCCCTTATTCCCTGGTGGCAGAAAGAAAGCAGAAAAGTCAGCTGAGAACTTTGACCATAGTAGACTGGCTCTCCCTGGAGTAATTCATTTAGTAATAGCGTGGCACAAAACTGAATGGGGACCTGGCCCTGCAAAGTAGGAAGTTTCTAAGCAATCTGATCCTTTGTTCAGTTGTTTTGATGGCTACTACGTCACACAGAATTTTTTCTTAACCTGTAAGAGTTAAAACCAAAAGAATTAAAGTGAGTGGCAGTCTTTAGGAAAAAAATAATGCCACTGTGTTGAAAGTTACATCCAGGAGGTTACACTCTAGTTCTGCAGTTTGCCTCTAAGCTTTCCATACTTGCTGTTTATTTCTGCACTTGCTTAGGAACACCCAGTACTGTGGGTGGGGTTTAGCTTGATCTCACTGGGGTAGCAGGTAAGGCTGAACTGTCATTTCCAATGAGCATTAAATATTGAAAACACAAAATCATCCTCTCTCTGGCAAGTCTTAAGTTTCCATAAGCAGCAGATGGTATACAAGGCAGGGCTAGGCACCTATAAAGACCTCTGTTTCTCAACTGCATATCTCTACCACCTGACAGCCAGCCGTCCTCTGATTAGAGTCAAAGGAAGTGGGTGTGCCTGCCATTAGCAAAGACAAAGTAATATTGCTAGAGACTTTTCCTCTTGTGAGCTTTCTTTTTGTGACTTTTCATCTTAGAACCACTTCTCTGCACAGGCTGCAGACAGTGCTTCGGGAGACAAGCTGCCTGAAAGACGCTGCAGAATGTGAACTGTGGCATTGTGGTGCTAAACAGGATTTGGTGAGGTGGGGGGAGACAGCTAGAAACCTGTGTCTTCAAGTAGCTCTTACTTGAGCACTCTGGTTTCAAAAAGCAAGTGAAAGCATACATGGCCTCAGTGGCTGATCTGGATGTGTGTGATAAATGTTAGTCATTCCCCCTTGGTTGCTTGCAGCTGTAGAGCAAGGAACAAGGCAACCTGGAGTTCTGAAAAAATAGACAAGACTAGCCAAAAAGAGTAATAATTAGCAAGAAGAAAGGTGAGAAACAAGCACAAGCTTTTATAAACTGTTCTTGCCATGGAAAACAGGCAATATTGTGAGATACCTTTTGGGCATCCTCCTCAAAATAGTCTCTTCGGTATAGCATCACATTTGGGGCAGCATTAACAGTAGTGGTAGGGCTAGAAAGGCCAGCAACAAAGGCCACCAGCTTTCTGACCACTGTTTCTGAGATC